CATGCGTTTGTGTGATTTATTAAAGTGTGTGTGAATGTAAATAAATACAATGTGAATATACAAATAATAAATACAAATAAATTAGATGAAAATAGATAAGATAACTATGTTATAGTGCACTTCCACAACCTACTGAAAACTACTAAATATTGTGGGTGTTGGATTTATAACAAGACGAAATGAGAGCATCACTGTGAAAACAACTCATTTAATGTCGATTGTCTTGTTTTCATAGCCACTGGAAGCCAAAATCATAATCAGATATTAAGACAATCGACATAAACTAATTATGTTTTCATAGTCACTGGAAGCCAAAATCATAACCAGATATAATCACCCAACCAACTTCAGACAGCAACATCAAACACCAGTTTATTTCTGTAAGTGATGCACGTTCAGCCATAACACACTACAAAGCCACAGTAAGAAATCTGTGAATGGGCTTCTCAAAACAGCACTTATTGAGTGACACACACCCTCAAGCTTCTTCTTGTCGAAGTAGGCCAGTTTGGTAGCAGCGAAGATGGCTTTCTGTGACTGCAGGCAGCCGACCACAGCATCCATCAGCAGAGCGTTAGTCAAGGCCTGCTCCATGAACTGAGGGTCCTGTAGACACACATCACAGCACACATTCACACGGCCGTCTAGAGCACAGGAGAGACACTCCTGACCCTCAGGACACAAAAACAAAACCCAACACTACTGCGCTGAACTCTGACACCTCTCATCGAAACCTGCATTCAGTCTGCTGTCTACTCTAAACTACCATACTGTGTTGTTCTGTTACACTATGGCCTGGCTTCATAGACAGGGCTTAGACGAAGCTAGGATTAGGACATAGTTCTATTAGGACATTTAAGTATCGTTTATAAATGTGCCTTAGAAAGTAACAATACTGACATGCTTTAAAATCAGTCAGTGCATGTTTCTTTCAGTTAAAACAGCTCATGTCATGCATTTTAGTCTGGGAAACCGGGGGGCATATGTTCTGGGGTTTTCAGTGTCTGAAATCGATCCACGTCCATCTGAACCACTTTTTCACATTCACATAATTTCCAACATTTTGGTAGAGAAAGTTTTCGCACTGTCAGACCGATTTGTAACAAGAAGCATTTATAAACCTGCCAATAAGCACATACTTAAAAATCTCTCTGCAGTTTTCCACCAAAATAAAAGCTTGAGGGTTTTAACATTTGAAAATGAAGATTATAAAACGGAGAGTTCCGGTCCTTGATTCTGATTGGCTGAGCCCGGGGCTTATTGCTTTAATTTAAGACTTATTATTATTATTATTAATAATTCCATTTATTCCAAAAATTTAAGATATATCATTACTGTAACTTAGTGTAAAATAAAATAATGAATATACTTATCAAGTATGCATTTATTTATTCCAAGAATGTTTTTATGTATTTAAGACATGTCAGTACTGTAACAGTGTTAAATCAAATTATTATTAATATTCTTATCAAATATTTATTTCAAGACTTAAAATAAAAGTAAAATAATATAACAATTTAGTTAAGTACACCTCCACAAAAACCTACTAAAGGAAAAATACTAAAAAATTATCTTGATTATTTTATTTTCATAATCGCTTGTATCTGAAATAAATAAAATTAATTAATAAAAAAAAAAAAAAAATGTATTAATTGCCCAGCCCTATTTCAGACTAATGTACAAGAACTAAATAATGGCCGTTTAGCCAGAATAAACTAAAATAATAATTTTCTCTTAATTTTTTTATAATTACAAAATTATAACAATAACAACAATAAAGAATAGTTTAAAAGCAATAAAGAATGTTGAAATTAAATCAGCAGCAATATGAGACATTAAATGTTCATCATATTGCTGTTCAAAATCGCAACATGACAAAATTATCATTATAAAACGGATAGTTCCGGTCCTTGATTCTGATTGGTTGAGCCACGTTCGTAGCCATTGTAAATTACTCTACAAACACACACCTTTGTTTACATTTGTAAACGTATCACTACACTTTATTTGCTCTGTTTTATTTTGTGAAACCTTACTACGTATATGGAATAACCGTTTTATAAAGCAATAAACCCCTTGAAGCCGTGGTTTACAGTGAATTTATAATTCACTCCACTTCGCGTCGTGCCTAACAACGCCCCTTAGCTGTTATAAATTCACTGTAAACCACGGCTTCTTGGGGCTTATTGCTTTATAATAGGCCTATAATTTATAGACCAAATTGTGCAGTCCTACACTGTAAATAAATAAAAAACAATCAATAACACTTACTAAAAAATATTTAATATTATATTTGTTTGCTTGCATGACAAACTATTTTCTTAGTTAATATTTCAGTTAATGTCAGAGTGGTTCAGCTGATCTAGGAGATGAATTTGGCTAAATCAAAGACTGAAGCAGTCATCAAACCTTATGATCGTCCGCCATCTTCCTGCCGGCCCACATCTCTTTGATCATCAGGTGCCAAAGGTCACACTCCGACTTCAGATTGGCCTCGAACGTCTCCTTCCTGAGGGAGGTTTTGATCTTCAGCGCCGGGATCCTCAGCAGAAGGAAAGGAGCGGATGATATCTTCACGTCCTGGATGAGAGGAATAAAGTCTTTCATGATTACAGTTCAGCCGGAAACACTTAAACCTGGGCTGAGCGATCCTGACCTCAATATCTCTGAACTTGGTGATCTCCACGTATCCCGGCCGGCCCTCCGTCAGCAGGAAGAGCCTGCGCTGGGTCATGGCGATCTTCCCCACGCCGTGGCTGGTCTTCACCGAGGACGAGAGCTTGTAGACACATTCGTCCGTCTCCAGGTGCTCCAGCACGACGACCGGCAGATCCACGTCCTGAGCCGCCGCTTCGGTCTCCTTCCAGAAGTTGTAGAAGAAGCAGAAGGTCTCTGGATCCACCTGCTTCTGCTGACCTGTGTGGAGGAAAGATCGCAAACATGAATTTTACTGTAGATCTTGGGCTTTCAATCGTTTAGATGCAATGGAGGCACCATCATCCTAAAAAAATAATAAAAAGCAGCTATACATTTTCATAGATAAAAACTTAATTTATACTGTTATTTATTATAAATGTGTTAAATATTATTTGGAAAATATTTAGTTTTTATTTCACTATGCACTATACTACTGTACTGTTACATGTATTATTTATTTAAATCATTTTTAAATATATATGTGGGTCAAAAACGTTAAGATGTCCGCATCAAAAGAAATTTACAAAAGTGATTATATTATGTCCATAGTAAACATTAAATGTCTACTTTTAAGATTTCAAATAAGTTTTTGAAGAATAAAATGTCAAAATTTGGTTTAAATAATGTTCCATTGTCATTCAGTGTAACACTTATAGTTATGTAAAAATTTAAACAACATGCTTATTCTGACCTGTACATATTCAAATATATAAAAGAATAAGGGAGCATATAAAATTTTATTGTTTTAAATGAGTAAAAACTTCTTACTGACAAATGGGCAAAACCTAGGATAGTGGCAAATTAAAAAAAACGTTTTAATTTAACTATGCATGTATATATTTATATTCTAGTTTTATTTACATTTTCATTTTATTTTACTATTTGTTTATTTTTTTATTTTTACACTGTTTTCTATAAACTTTGAATGATTAATTGATTATGTAATTTATTTATGTATTTATTTATATATTTTAATCTATTTTTATTTAGTTAGTTTCATCTTAGTTTTATTTATTTTTACACTGTTTTTTTCTCTAAACTTTTGGTTGATTGATTGATTGATTGATTGATTGATTGATTGATTGATTGATTAGATTTCAAATAAGTTTTTGAAGAATAAAATGTCAAAATTTGGTTTAAATAATGTTCCATTGTCATTCAGTGTAACACTTATAGTTATGTAAAAATTTAAACAACATGCTTATTCTGACCTGTACATATTCAAATATATAAAAGAATAAGGGAGCATATAAAATTTTATTGTTTTAAATGAGTAAAAACTTCTTACTGACAAATGGGCAAAACCTAGGATAGTGGCAAATAAAAAAAAACGTAAAATAACAATTAATTAGTATTTGGGGTGAAAGTAATTAGTTTTTTAATGTCATCAATTGATTTTTGTTGTAAATATGCCTGACAAGATTGTTACACTAAATTACATTTTAGTGGTTGTCTTCTGTAAATCAGGGGAAAATGTATTATATTTATCTTTTGCTCAGAAAAACAAAAACAAAAATACAATTATATTAAACAAAAAACTTTTTAATTACAAATTTTTTTTTTTTGAAAAACAACAATTTAAAGCAGTATTGTTTTTATGCTTGAACCCTTTTTTGTCTTTGACCCATGTATTTATTTAATTTAATTTAATTATATATTTATTATTTTTATTTAGTTAGTTTCATCTTAGTTTTATTTATTTTTACACTGTTTTTTTCTCTAAACTTTTGGTTGATTGATTGATTGATTGATTGATTGATTGATTGATTGATTGATTGATTGATTGATTGATTGATTGATTGATTGATTGATTGATTGATTGATTGATTGATTGATTGATTGATTGATTGATTGATTGATTGATTGATTGATTGATTGATTGATTGATTGATTGATTGATTGATTGATTGATTGATTGATTGATTGATTGATTGATTGATTGATTGATTGATTGATTGATTGATTGATTGGCTGGCCATTTAATTATAAATTTATATATTATAATTTATTTTTTTATTTATTAGTTTAGTTTAATAATCTTCATTTTTTATTATTTATTTATACATTTTTACACTACTTTTTTTCTTTAAACTTTGATTTAATGGGTAGGACTGTGTAGTTTTAAAGAGTTGTCATTTACTCATCATTTGCTCTCTATTATGTTCCAAACCTGTATGACTTTCTTTTTCCATGAACACAAATTCACGAATACAAAAACAGAGAAAAGGGACAAAAGTGGCAAAAAACACTAAATAAAATCAGTCACATGACTCATGCACTACACTGTCCAAACTGCGGTTCTTCTGAAGTCATATGATGCTTTGTGTGAGGAACAGACTCAAATTAAATCATTGTATGCTAATGATATATTCAAATATGATGTGGACTTTAAAATGAATAAAGTGTCTCTTCTGCATTACACAAAAGAAGGAGCGTCATGTAGTTTGAGAACATGAGCATGAGTAAATGATGAGTGAATTATTGCAGATCTTGTGACATCTGAGATAAAGGTGCTTTCTTTACTTTATGGCTCCAAGCAATAAAGCGTCATGGTAAATTCCAGTGAGATATACTGTATATATAAACAGCACACAATACAGCAAAAATATCTCCTTAAAACCTGAATGTTTACTGAACAGTTGTGCCTTGCATTCTTCAAATGTTTTTAAATAAAAGAATGAGTGTATGAGTAAGAAATGCATTTGACACACACGACGAACACAAACCTGTTCTACTAATACCATCCAGGAACGTGTCACAGAGCTTTAAATGTTACATGACTTTAAACAGACAGGAAATGATTAACCAGCGTTGTGCTACTCGAGTAAGTGAACACAGGAGTACAGCTAGAGGTTAAACACAAACTGGGTTAAAGATGGCCGCTCTGAATGTGGCTAGCTGAAGAACATTCCTTCACGCACACAAACACACACACACACACACACACACACTCATGCAGGTACGGAGTCACACGTGTGCCATCCTGCCGTGATGCTGTTAGTACTGATGGCACATGCAAGCTATGCTTACCCTCCAGCTCAAGGTAAAACACAGACTGGGAAGTGGAATCCACACCTGACAAACCAAAGCCATTTTTACCAAAAACACTAGTGTTGCATAATACATCAGTGAGCATATCACTATCAGCCAATATTAATATCAGCATATTCCAGTCGCTGGGCCAATATTGGAAGCAGATATTATCACTAATATAATATATTCCAACTGTATATTTTACACAACACAGTAAAAATACTAGTTGTAAAATAATTTACAACTATGGCCATCAACTGCTGCATCAGCCAAATTTATATAACAGTACTATCGATCTATCTATCTATCTATATATCTATCCATCATCTACCTGTCTATCTATCTATCCATCTACCCATTCATCCATCATCTACCTTTACATTTTAATTTAATTTAATTTAAATTTAATTTTTAATTCAATTGTTTTAATACCTTTTTTTAATTTAATCATCTACCTATCTATTTACCCATCCATCCATCCATCCATCCATCCATCCACCATCTACCTGTCTATCTACCCATCATCCATCCATCATCTACCTGTCTATCTACCCATCATCCATCCATCCATCCATCCATCCATCCATCCATCAACATCTATCTATCTATTTAACCATCCATTCAATCTGTCTATCTACCCATCCATCCATCTTCAATCTGTCTATCTACCCATCCATCCATCTTCAATCTGTCTATCTACCCATCCATCCATCTATCCATAATCTACCTGTCTAGCTACCCATCCATCCATCATCTACCTGTCTAGCTACCCATCCATCCATCCATCATCTACCTGTCTATCTACCCATCCATCCGTCTATCTGTCCCTGCACCCATCATCTCTCCATCTATCTATCCATCTATCCTGCACATTCAAATTTGTTACAGTTGCGCTAAAACTAATATGGCGTCTGAAAGCTGAGGTTGATGGTCAGTTTGTGTGTTCAATTTTTGACCAACTTTTTCCACTTCTGATGTCATTTCTAGCGAGAAATTAGTATTGTAGTAATAAAATATTTGCTTAGTTATCACCAAAGTTCCAGATATAGATCTTTGTTCTAGATCATTAAACTGTCTCCGAAGTCTGTCCAAAATCAGTTTTGGAAGGTACCTTCACACACAAGCGCTGCCTGCAAAGTCATTGCCTGATAGGGCAGCAAGGCATCAAGTCAGCTGCCTAAGCTTTCAGAAGCAGCCTTGGATTTCAAGAACAGGAAAGGTTGCCAGATCTCGATAAGTTTCCCTAGCCAATTAGTTTGCTCATCACTTTGGCCCAAACAAGCAACAGCTCTATTCTGATTGGCTGTGCTTTGTACCCACCCACAGTGAGTGCCTCAAACAGCCGCTGGATGGTGTCCTGATCCTTCACGACGCCAGATTCCTGAACACGCCGCACAAAGTCCTCCATGTGCAAGTGTTTCTTGGGCAGTTCGAATCTCTTCACCGTCCCGCCATCCATCGGTCGCGCCCGCTCCCGTTCATTCTCTCTTTTCACCCGGCTGATCAGACGCTTCAAATCGGGGCGTCGCTCGGCCATCCTCCTCTCCTCCGCCGGCAGAGACTCGACCAGCGCGTTCAGCAGCTCGTTAGGAAAGATGTCCATGTCTGTCTTATACAAGCTCTGGAAGTCTCCGAGGGCATCCACGCGCTTCCCGGCAACAGAGTTCACCAGTCCTCGTAAGTAATAATAACGGGCCAGGAGGGCGGAGTCATCTGGGGTTGCCGTGGAGATGGCTTTGCTCAACTCTTTGATGAGATCATTGTAGTAACTCTGAACGTATTGGTAGGCGAGCGGAGGAGGGAATTCTGGGAGTTTAAAGGTTTTGATTGGCCTTGAGGGACTCCAGGAACCTGTTCACATAAAATAGGAGATAAGTGACACTTACTATGACTTTGTTCAACGTTTTATAGATGACACAAAATCAAATTTGACTATATTTACTTTCTTTCTTAAATACAAATTAAAGTTTTATAGCTTTTAGTCTGTCTATGGGCCTGTTTACACCTGGTCACTTCATGCGTTTTCTCTCATTGGATAGAGAGGTGTAAATGCCCTCTGAAACACTTTGGAGATGGATTAAATCCGATCTCTCAAACCACTTCAGGAGGTGATCTGGGCCGCATTCCAGACGAAACTGAACAAGTGTGAATGCATCTGGATGTTAAAGCCACATTTGTAAAGTTTACTCCTCCCAAAATGTTAAAAAATAAACATGTGAGAGCGTGTTATAGGCTATATGATGTGTTGTAGTCAGATATGACAGCACTAATGCAACACGCATCGCTGTGGATGAGTAGCTGAGTGTCTCCTGTTGTGGTCTTTCATCTTGAAATTATCTGATGATGAATAAAATGCAGCGCATATCTGTCGCTTTTGTTGATGTGAACTCCATTAAATTTCCATATAGTGTGGGAATTTGTAGATCAGATTTATATCAGATTTGCAGAGACACATTTATATGGCCAAGTGTAAATGGAACCGTTTTAACAAATCAGACAGCTATCCGATCAGAGAAAACACATGAAGTGACCAGGTGTAAACAGACCCTATATGTTAGTGCACACATGGTTGACAAAATAAACGTATAGCAGATATACACATTTCTCTTCCAGGAAAATAAACCAAAAATATTGATGACATCACCTGCTGAGGGCATATGCTCTTTTTTATGTGCAATAAACACTCTATAAAACAGTGCTTCTCAGCAAACTTTTACGGGGGCCGCAGGATTAAAATAGATTAAATTAAGATTATTACAGAATTAATATAATTAATATCAATATTATTTAAAAAACATTAATAATTTTAATATTAATGTATATTTAACATAAATGTTAATGATCTCAATTAAAATGCTAAAAAACTCAAAATGCTTAAAAGATTAAAGGTAACATATCATGAAAATCGGATTTTTCCAGGTTTTAAGTGCTATAATCAGGTCCCCGGTGCATCTACCAATCAAGGAAACGTGAACAAGATTAACCCAGTAACTTTGTTTTGGGAAGCCTTTTTCTGCAAGCGTCTGAGAAAACGAGCGCGTCTGATTTCGCTCCCTTGGTGACGTTGCAAAGGGATCTCATTATAATATTACCGCCCCTTAATCTGTTCACGTTTCTACCCATGGCACCTTCATTTTGATTTCGCAAGCGACAATGGTGTACCAGTTCTAATGGCAAAAGTTTGAGCAAAATATGCTAACTGTTCTGCCTTTGGCTGCACAGACGAGCACAGAACACTATTTAGAGTCCCAGCCTCAGAGGAGACAAGAGAGCAGTGGATTTATTGATTTATTTAATGTATATTGCTGCTGCCACACAGATCTAAAATAAACATGTGATTTATTTCCCAGCTGTTTACATTCACAGACATAACCGACTGTTTTTGTAACTCATGTGTGTTTTTAACATAAACTTGTGTGTGAATGAGAACTTAGTTTAGTACTCACATGCTGTGAGAGCCGCTTTCTGTCCGTGTGCTTCGGATGTGTGCTCTCAGAAAACCGTATATCAGAAGTTTAAACTAATATGGTTTAAAACACATAATTTCAGCGCGATAAACATGATAATCAGAACCAAAACAGATGTTCTATTCTGGACAAGTGGGCGGGGGCAGCAGCTCATTTGCATTTAAAGAGACAGGCACGAAAAACAGCGTGTTTCTGCTTCCACTCAAAATGGGCATTTTCAAAATGATGTAATAAATGATCTGTGGAGTATTTTGAGCTGAAACTTCACAGACACATTCTGGGGACACCAGAGACTTATATTACATATTGTAAAAAGGGGCATAATATGTCTCCTTTAAATAATTTTAAAACTATGTAACAACTGAAATGCTAAAAAAACTAAATCAAGATGTAACTAAATCATTTTTTCTCTCAATAACTTGTTATATACTTTATATGTTATACTTTATATTGTTTTTATACTATGAATAATGTAATATATTTATCTTATTTATCTTAAAAGAGAAGCACGTCCTGCAATATCTATGGCACCAACACTACAATAAAGAAAAAAAAAACATTTATTAAACCACATGAATCCCTGGAGGTTCCCTGGTTAATACTTGTTTCAGAATATATGATATGTTGTTAAAAGTTTAGTCAAGTTTCCTCACAGCTGTGGAAAGGCATGGTCCTCATGGACGTCTGTCGGACCGGGACGGTGAGCAGGCGGTGGTCAGCCAGGTTTGGCATACTCACCCCCAGCCTGCTGCTCAGGCCGATCTCTGGTCTGATGTACTTGCGGATCTCCTCCATCGCTGGTCTGCGAGGAGACTCTGTCATGGCTCTCATCCTGAGCAACAGAGGTGGAGATATGTTTTATTTCAGCTCATTCATGTCAGATAATATCACCCAAACTAAATCTTTAAAAAAAGATTGTGTTGTTTTTTAACCTAATGGCTTGTACTGCATGTGTGACCTGCTGATAATCATGTTCCTCAATGAGTAGAAATGAATGGGAACATGATTACAGTAAATACACTTACAGCAGGTAAACATGCAGGACCGTGAAAACTATGCTTCACTTTTGCAGAAGAAAAACACAGGCTGCTGTGACAGAATCACTTACAAAACCTGTTAAGTTACACACAAACTAATGCCATTACCAGCTAAAAAAAAAGAAAAAAAAAGAACCCTGGTTACTTTTCCTTGGTATCTGTTACCAGGAAGAGACGAGTCAAAATTTTCTGAAAAATGGTCATACTTTAGTTTTTGTCTTTTGTCTGCTTTTGCTTCTGCTTATCTTTTGTCTGCCTTTCACATGCGAGATGTTTTCAATGGTACACACTGGTATGTAGGTTTGCTGTGGTGGTAAATATAGCGTTTAACTTCCCCTTCCTTCAATAGAAAGCATCACACTGAGACAGATTCATGCCTCATTCTCATTGCTGGACAGAAAGGGAATGAGGAGGTGATGATGTTTTTTGTTTCCTGTGATGACTAACTGTTTCCTGTATTTGTTTGACACCTATTTGTGTCTGTTTCTGGTCACCAATGAGCCCTATAAACAGTGATCAGTCTATTAGGCTGGATTTACATGCACAGATCCCATGTATTCTCACTAATCTGAATAGTCACATTCCCGATTACTAACTTTTCATCAAGCATCCCTAATGCACGATCAGCTGAAAAGTTGTAAACAATAGAGGCTTTTGCACCAGAGGAACCTTTTCATAGTTCCTAGAACTACTGGTGGAAGTTCCCGCTTTTTGGCATGTTCGCACCATAGGAATTAGGAACGGTTTTAGTTCTAGGAATTCTGTTTGCAGGAACTAAATTAGCTCCTACTTCAGAGAAGGGTCTAAAACAGTTCTATAGGAACTACCAGTGATGTAAGTGTATGCTGATTGGCCAAACGCATACGAAACACTGGCTACACGGCATTTTTAAAAAGCCATGTAAAAATATTTACTCCACAAAAATGGAAAACAGTGACAATAACGGCATTTACCTGTTGTGTGCAGCATTCTCAGCCTCAATGATAACACTGCAAGTTGTCATAGGAGATTTAGTCAGATTTTCATGCTCTTTCAATCACGTAAATTGTGCGTTTACATTACAACTCCAATATCACGAAACGCCACGACACACAACAAAAACAGCTCCGATCACGGCATCCTCCATTCACCGGTTGTTGATGTTTGTAAATGCCGCACATAAAGATAGCTATGTTTCCATCCACCTATTTTTATGTGCATTTTGGAATATCGCATAAAAAAAACGCTGGATGGAAACGCCAAGATGCGCATAAATTCTAAAAATGCGTATAAAAACGTATGTGCACATTTGAGTAGGATAAACTTTTTATCCAATAAGAAAAAATGCGCATAAACTACGATGGAAACACATTTACTGAATAAATTCCTCCATGCGCATCGAAAAAGTCATGCGACTTGTGAAACAGGATAACTTGACTAGCAGCGGACCGATCTCGTTCACAGCATTTATATGTTGTTATGGTCATTCTGAAATGCCTGAGCAAAGTCTGTCGTCAAAGTATTTCTGTATAATTGTCTTACACGACTGCGTTCCCAAACAGCTGGCATCCACCTCCGAAAGCAATGACTGCATTTATTGTGTTTCGTCTGCTCGCTCTGAGGCACAAGTAATTTATCATATATAAAAATTATTGTATTCAGTGGCTTCTCCTAGTGATATTTAGTGCCAGTTTACCAGGAAGTGACCATTTTGTTCTCTTTGACTCATTGGATGGAAACAGTGCTTTATTCGCAAATGTTTTATGCAATATTCCGAGTTTAATTAGAATCTTTGGATGGAAACATAGCTGATGTTGCTGTCGGCTGCTTCAGAGTTCCTGCTGCTGGTGCGAATGCAAACAGCATAACGGCCTAAGGGAGAAATTGATTCTCTAGGAACGACTAGGGTTGGTTATCGAAAACTTCCATTTTCCAGAACGTTCCATTTTAGAACCAAGAACCGAATTTCCAAGAACCGGGTATTCGATAAGATGCATGCATTCCGATTCTGCTTAACGATTCCTGCGTTCGCATTTTAATGTGATTAAAAACTATTTAAGTTCAGGAACGGAAAGAACTTGCGCCCTGTTTGCGTGCAGCGCACACGAAGCGCAAGCGCGAGCACAGAGAACAGAGGTCGCGGTACGGGTTCCCGGTTTGTGTCCGTTCTCGAACCGTTCCGTGTATTTCCACTGTAGAAAAGGTTGTTCTGGGCCGAAACTGACTTCTTTCATATTTGTCAACCAATACGCAGAAAACGACGTCAGTATATCATCATAAACACAGACGTTTTTGTCTTACGTGAACGTAAACAGATGAGAAAGAAAACACACATGTACAGTATTTTTAGATCTGCGTGCGTTCGGTGTTAAAGAGACAGCAGCCTAATAAACGCACTGCCTGTCATTAATGTTAATCAAAGAACAAAAGAAAATCATTCACTGATCTTGACTGAATATATTTAATAACTTTAATTGATTAATCTATATTTTATTTATGAAAAGAAAACTATGCAGTTTTTAAACTTTTAATTAGTTTCTGTACCTGAAATTTTGTTCAGTTGTATTTATTTATGATATTGCTAATTGATTTGTTTGTTCCTATCTTATTACTGACTGTTTACTTGTCTTTAACACTGTAATATTTGAAATTTATATTAATCTAGTTGTTTTTGCTGTGGTATATTTTTTTAAAGCATAGGCAAAATTCCTCTTGCAGTGTTCTGTAGGCTGCTGATTTTTGCTCGTGTTATTCAGCTGCAACAGAATGCAAAAAAGAAGTCCTACCTCAGAAAGAGGATTTAGAAATTAACAACTGATCATGCAATTTGTATTTTTGGCCTGCTTTCTTGATTGTCATTTACTGTAAATGTACTTAATTTATATGCTTTGGCATGGTAATGCAAAACGAGTAATAACAAATAACTGAAAAATAACACAGAATATTCTTTTAATGAATAAAAACTGGACACAGGAAGAAAAAAAAAAAAAGAGATGAGAGTCCATTAATGTTGACTTTTATTTACCTGCGAGTCTCTGAGCGGATGTTCAGCTGCATGTGAGTGAAAGCGTCATTCTTCCTGTTCAAGCGGTCCCGTAGAAATGAGTGGAATATATGAGTGTCTAAAACCTACAAGCAAACACACATGAGTGAGTGGGTTTGGTAGAGAAGCACATGCTGAGTGTATAACCGAACGGGAGTCTTTATTTACCTTCTTGTAGAACTCGTGATCGGTCGTCTCTCTGGACCGGAGGAACTCCTCGCTGTTGAAAACTCGATGCTCATAGTTCAGGAAGTCACAAACTTCACTACAGAAAGCAGAAAAAGACTGCATATGGATTTCAGATCAAACACAGAGCAAAAAACAACATCGCTGTGTTCACATTTCAGCAGGAGAAACTGCAGGATGCTTCTGTTAGAGAATAAAACCTTTTAAATACTTGTTTTTCAAATAAATCCGACCAAAGCAGAAATGACAAGATGTTTAAGTTCTGAAAAGTTTTTTTTCAATCTAGAGTAAATCACAGCATTCTGTGATGAGAAGAGTTTAGCCAGTCATAACTGAGGTCGTTTACATATGACACATAGGTAGAATTCTTTAAAATTATTTTACCATTGTATAATATAATATAATATAATATAATATAATATTTAGGGGTGCTCCAATTGATCGGCTACCGATCACTATCGGCCGATAATCACATTGGGATGATTGATCGGCGGTCTCTAGGTGATCGGTGATCGGCCTCAAAAACCCTGATCGGAGCACTCCTAATAATATTCCAATTATGGTTATTGTCATTAGATTCTTATTACAGTAATACTTTTTTTTATTTATTTTTTTACTTTTTTGTAAAACATTGCTTTTTGCAAGTTGTGGCTTTCTAGAAAAAAAAAACATTTATATGGAAAAGAGTTTATTGTTTGTTGGCATCAGTGTTATTTTAGTACTATTCATATACTGTTGTGGTATTTAT